GTGATTGTTTATTCTGTTGTTGTTTTTTTGGTACGGTTATCATTGTGATTATTATGATAATGATAATTTCGTTAATTGTTGATATTATGATAATCATTTTTATGATAATGATAGTGATAGTAATACTAATGATGATGGTATTGATAATTATAGTAACGGTAATGATAATAACAACAGTGACGATATTAATAATGATAATATTAACAATAATCTTTATAATAAAAATCATAGCAGACATTTTTGCTCTTGAACCTCAAAACTGCAATCCTTAGCCTCAGGGACGTTATTAACTGCGTCCTTTTCCCCAGAGACTTGTCCGGAAATCCCCTGACGACGGTGCAGGACATCTTCACGGGCCTGAAGGCTCTCCGCGTCCTGTGAGTTGGGGGGGAAGGGGAGGGAGAGGGAGAGGGGGAAAGGGAGGGGGTGCTTCTTCATTCATTCACTCGGGAAATTGAGCTTTTTTGTGTCGATGAAGGTTTTGCTGATGGTGGGGATATTTTCGTCTTGTTGATTAATTCTCTTTTTGGTGTTTTTCTTTTGTTTTGTTTTGCTTTTTGTTTGTCTGTGTCTTCTTTTATTTATTTAGTTAGTTAGTTTTTCTTAGCTTATTCTCTCTTTTTCTCTCTCTCGCGGTTTCCCTCATTCTTTCTCTTTCCTTCTCTCTCTCTTTCTCTCTCTCTCTCTCTCTCTTTCTCTCTCTCTCTCTCTCTCTCTCTCTCTCTCTCTCTCTCTCTCTCTCTCTCTCTCTCTTTCTCTCTCTCTCTCTGTCTCTCTCTCTCTCTCCCTCAACCTCCCTCAACCTCCCTCACCCTCCTCCTCTCTCCCTCCCTCTTTCCCTCCTTCCCTCTCCTTTCCTCCAAACACCCCTTCATACTCCTTAATAAACCCAACGCCCTGCAGGAACCTGATGGACCTCGACCTTCAGGACATCGACGAGCGACACTTCTTGTCGATGGAGGAGCTCAAATTAGCGTACGTATGAAAACAAGCAATAATAGTAATAAAAAATGAAACAGGAGAACAGCAGTAGACAGGATGATTATCTTTGTATCTTTATTTTGGAAAGAGGGAGATAGAGACAATCAATAAAAAAAAAAACGATGAAACAGGAAAATAGCAGTAGACTAATATATCCATATCTTTCTGTCTTTAATTTGGCGGGTGGAAGACGGGGGGCGGAAAACACTTTTTTCTATTTCTTCTTAGTGGTCTTCGTGATTCTAGTGATCATTCATGTTCTCCAGGTATTTCAAGACCTTTCGCTACTGCAGCTACGTGCCGCGGGTCCTTCAGTGTCTTCCTAGTACAGACGGTGAGTTTTTTTTGTGAATGAAGTGTAGAGTTCTTTTTGTGAATGAGGTGATGCTAGACTACTTTTACGCTGACAGGATTTTGAATGAAGGGTTATTACGCTAGTTTTTTTTTTATGAATCATTAAAACAAAATAAAATGCTGTTGCCAATTTTACGTAAATCATATCAAGGAAGTTCTGTTTTACTGTTTTTGTGCTATCAATAAAAATCAAAATAAATACCGCTAAATCAGTTTCACGTTAACAGGTTTTTGAAATCAAATAAAATGTTGTTATACTACTTTTACGCAAACAGGGTTTTGCGAGTGAAATACGGCTTCACTACTTTAACGCTAACCATTTTTTGTGAATGAAAATAGTTTGAAGATAAATTGCTTTTACTTTAAGAGGATTTATGGACCAAATGTTGATATCCTTTTTCAAGAGCTACGCTGCTGAAATATGGTTTGACTGCCTTTACACTAACAGGTTTTAAGAATGAAATACTACATTACCCCTTTTACGCTAGTGTTTTTTTATGAATCAAAAGCTGCGTTGACTGCTATTGCGCTCACTGGTTTTGTGAATGGAATGTTATATTACTACTTTTACACTAACAGGTTGTCATGAAATGTAATATTGCCATTGATGCACTAATAGTTTTTGTGAATGAAAGGTTGCTTTACTGCGTTTACACTACTTTTCGCTAACTGGTTTACATAAATAAATGCTGCTGCTTTACTCTTACGCTAAGAACTTTACAGTATCTTTTTTATTGTGAATGAAATCTTTGTTTCTTTTACGCTAAATTCTTTGACTATTTTTACGATAACCCAGAGTGTTAGTTATGACCTTTTCTGCCCATGTGATAACACTACTTAGGCCTTTTTAGAAAAATGTATAGTTTCTCATTCTCAAACTAAACGTGTTGTCTTCTCACTACATTCTCCTCCTCATATTGAAATGCCTCCCACATCTGCACCAAACGCCCACACGCCCCTCATTCTACAACCCCCCCCACCCATCCGCCCACCTACCCAACCCTTTCACCACCACTCATCCCCCACCCCTAGGCGTCTCGAACGGGCGTGACATGATGGGCTGGGTCGTCCTCCGCGTCGCCGTGTGGGTCGTCGCCGCCCTCACCCTCAGCGGCAACTTGGCTGTGATTGGCTGCCGCGCCATCTCCAAGGAGGACAACAAGATACTGAAGCTCTTTATCAAGAACCTGGCTGGTATGTGGCCGCGGGAGAGGAAGGGAGAGGAAGGGGGGGAGGAAGAGGCAGAGGGAGAGGAGGGAACCGGGGGAGAGGAATGGAGAAGGGAGAGAGGTAGGAGGGGGGGGAAGGGGGAGCAAGAGACAGAAGGAGAGGGGGGAACTGGGGGATGGGGGAGAGGGAGGGAGAGGGGGGGAGGAAGGAGGAGGAGCGGGGAAGGGGGAGGAAGAGGTAGAGGGAGAGGGGAGAACTGGGGGACGGGGGAGAGGGAGGGAGAGGGGGGAAGAAGGGAGAGTGGGGAGAGGAAGGAGGGGGAAGCGGGGAAGGGGGAGGAAGAGGCAGAGGGAGAGGGGGGAACTGGGGGATAGGGGAGAGGGAGGGGGAGGAAGGAGGACGGGCGGGGAAGGGAAGGAGGAGGAAGAGGCAGAGGGAGAGGGGGGAACTGGAGGAGAGGAAGGGAGAGGGGGGGGAGGAAGGAGGAGGGGCGGGGAAGGGGGGGGGAGGCAGAGGGAGATGAGGGAACTGGGGGAGTGGGGGAGAGGAAGGAAGGGGAAGCGGGAAAGGGGGTGGGGAGGAAGAGGCAGAGAGGGAGGATGTGGGAGGAAAGGCAGGAGAGGGGAGCAGGGGAAGAGGGAGATGGGGAGGTGGAGAGGCGAGAGAGAGGGTAAGAGGAAGAAGGAGGGAGGAGGGAGAGGAGATGGAAGGGGGAGGGACTGGGTGGGAGGGAGGGAGGGAGAGGAAGGGGAAGAAGGAGAATGATAATGTTGACGATAATAATGAGGATGATAGTGATATTAATCATGATTATAACAATATTAATGCTAATGAATAACAATGATAATAATGATATCAATAATGATAATAATCATCACACCCCACTCACCATCCGCCCCCCCTTCCCCTTCCGCCCACGCAGCCGCCGACCTGCTGATGGGCGTGTACCTGGTGATCCTGGGCGTGCAGGACCTCAAGACGAGGGGATCCTTCCGGGCGGAGGCGCTGGCGTGGGCGTCCTCCTACACCTGCACCTTCACCGGGATTCTGGGGCTTGTGTCGTCCGAGGTGAGTGAGGGGGGAGGGGGAGGGAGGGGAAAGGGGGAGGGGAAGGGGGGAGGAAGGGGGGAGTGGAGGGGGATATGTGGTGAGGGACGGAGAGTGGGAGGGAGGGGGAGGAAGGAGGGAAATGGTTGTGGGGAGGAGGGAGGAGGGAGGGGTAAGGAAAGGGTGGGAGGGGGGTGGAGGGTAATGGGAGGGGGGAAGGAAGAGGTAAGGGAAGGGGAGGAGGGAGGAGGGGATAGGAGTAGGGGAAGGGGAGGGGGAAGGAAGGGGTAAGGGAAGGGGAGGAGGGGAAGGGACTACCACAGGGAGAAATCCTGATCCGATGAAAAACCTGAATTGATTCTTACGTGATTGGATGAAGAACTCACAAATAATTCGAAGCGCCTGACATTCCCCTCGTAACGGCTGCATTCCATCATATTCACGTATAAAGAAGGTAAAACACCTGCTTCTTAATTCCCCAAAAAGTCTGCTTAACATCTACCGGCTTCCTTAAGGCTCAAAATCCCCTCCACAGCACAAAGAATCCGACCTTACACCTCTTCTCCTCCGCCAGACGTCAGTGTTCATCCTGACCTTCATGTCCCTCGAGCGGTACTTGTTCATCCGGCAGCCCCTCGAGGCCCGCACGCTGTCGGAGAGGTCGGCTCGGGTCTGTCTGTTCTTCATCTGGATGACGTCGATCTTCCTGGCCGTCTTTCCCGGTGAGAAATATTGTTTTTTTTATCTGGGTTGGAGGACTATTTTTTTTCTTTCTGTTTGTCTGTCTGTCTCTTTGTTTCTCTATCTGTCTGTCTGTCTGTCTTTTTCTCTTTCTCTCTCTCTCTCTCTCTCTCTCTCTCTCTTTCTCAATATCGAAATATAAAAGGATTTACATTCCACATTAATCTTAACTATGTTTCATAATTTACTAAACGATCTGTCCTAAACTATTCCATTACCTGTTTGGAAATGAACTTTTCTTCCTGAATCATTACCTGAGCGATAGACAAAGTTCTCGCTTCCTCTAGTTCTTTTTAATATTTTATCAAAACAATTTCCCTTTTAAATACTTTCTCCCACAGCCATATGGATCAAAAGCTTCTACGAGAGCGGCGCCATGTGCATTCCTCTGCACGTGACCGAACCTTATCTCGCTGGATGGCAATATTCAGCCTTCATATTCCTAGGCATCAATACGCTCAGGTATGACCAATTAGTGACTAACTATGACCCATCGTGACCAATTATTACAATATGACTCCCGCTCTACTTTGTGTTTTCAGGGGCGATTCGTAATCGGATACGACTTATACGAATACTTATACTGATAAATTAACGAGTGTTTTAAGACGCCTTTACACGGGAAAAAATCAGGTGCATGACTTCAGTATGTTCACTGTTGTTGCTTGTATCTTTTTTGACATTCGATTTATGTAAATGATTTTACTCCACATAAATGTATGCAAGTTTGTATATTTGAAAAGTTATATAGAAAAATAAGCAGATAGATGCAAGAATGACGAAGAATCAGATTGCAATAGTGGCGATGACTGCACCGAGGAAAGTTGAGAAATACTGGGTGGGCGGGTTGGGCTGAATTTGACGTCGAGGGAGTAGTAGTAAAATGAATAAATGTATGAATAAGTAAATGAAACGAAAAAAAAGCATTAAACGTAAATTATTCTCTCGTGCCTTATCCTTCCCTCTTCCTTCTCTTTCTTCTTTTTTTTACTCCTGCTCCTCTTTATCTGCTCTGCCTCCTTCTCCTCTTGGTTCTCTTCTTTCTCTTGCTCCTCTTTCTTCCCCTTGTTTCTCCCCTCTCCTCCTCTTGTTCCTTATGCTTCTCCCTCTAATTTCCATCAATTTTCTCTTTTTTTCCCCTCTTCCTATTCCTCTTCCTTTTCCTCTTCCTCTCCTCCTCCTCCTCCCCTCTTCCTATTCCTCTTCCTTTTCCTCTTCCTCTTCTCCTCCTCCTCCTCCTCTTCCTCCTCCTCCTCTTCCTCCTCCTCCTCCTCATCATCATCATCACCATCATCATCATCATCATCATCCTTTTCCTCTTCCCCGCCCTCCTCCTCAACCTAACCCCCCTCCCCTCCCCTCCCTCCCCCCACAGCATGGCCGTGATCCTGGGCGCCTACGCCGGCCTCTTCTTCAACATCATGGTGACCCGGACGTCGACGCCTCTCTCGGGGGGGGAGTCCCGGTTCGCTCTCCGCTTCTTCTTCATCGTCATCACCAACTGCGTGTGCTGGCTCCCCATCGCGTGCGTCAAGGCGGCTGCGCTGGCCAACATCGAGGTCCATTGTGAGTTGAAGCTGTGGTCGGCACTGGGAGACACGCAAAGAATGAGCTGGATATAAAGTCAGAGGAAAATAGGAAATGACGAAGAAATAAGGGGGGGGGAGGGGGGATGTAAGAGGAGAAAAAATGACTAGATAACGTTGAAATAAGGGTGTAAATTTTCAAAAACGCTTGACATAAAATTTGGTTAATTCGAAAGTGAGATTACAACTTAGTCTTCTTTAAGAAAAAAAATATTGCTCTAAATTCTATTTTGTGTATAATGTTTTTTTTCTGTCAATTTATTAATACATTACAGTGTGTTTCTTTTCATTAAGTGATAGGATTCTTGGCTTATGCTACGTTTCTGCTGCATTCACCTAGTGCTGCGATGTTAACAAAATCACTTTAGGCACGCGGAACTGTAGATGCATCTTATATGGAAAAATACCTTATACTACACAATCCATTCAGTTATTTTATATATAGAAAGAAGGAATGACTTCACGTTAGAGTAAACTACAAAGTACAAAATAGCTTCATCATAAAAAGAAATATATCATTCACTATCTAAAGCTTCCTCTCTCACAACTCCCCAAGCCATATCATAAAAAAAATCACTCTTAGCTAAGCCTTCCTGTCTTTTACGCTAAACCTTTCCCTTACCAGCCGGAGTGTACGCCTGGCTCGTGGTCCTCGTCCTGCCCATCAACTCGGCCATAAACCCGATTCTGTACACTTTCTCGACGTCAAAGTTTCAGAGTCAGATGTCGACGTTACGCTCCGTTTTCCGAGCGGCGCGCAACAGGCAAGATTCGGGTTAGCATATTAGTGTTATTTTTTTTTTTACGTTTTTTATAGTTGAGTTTCTTCATGTGTATATATATATCTTTTCTCTTTTAGAAGTGTGTAGCATGGAACGAAGTCGATTTCTTAAATCTGAGTGTCTTCATGTTTATTTTTTTTGTAGTTTGGAACGAAGTCGACTTGTTAATCATTCGTAGTTATAACTGGGATAATGTTGTTCTTTATGTTTTTGGTTTCTTTGTTTTTATTTGTTCAGTCACACTCTGTTTTATCACAATATTATAGAAATACTTCTGTTTCTCCAAATATTCAGGTTAGGTTTGTAAGGGTACGAGTCATTCATGCTTTGATGAAGTGAGACAAATGTACTTGCAAATAGATGCAGTCACTTTACTGCCACAAGAAGGAGTATATTTGTGCTTGAGAGGAATTGAATCTTTACTTATCTGAATATATATGCCTGAATATTTCTGCTTGAAATGGAATTGAATCTTTATTTAAGTGAATATTAATGTCTGAGATAAAACTGAATCCCAGTCAATAAACGGTCTCCTTCTCCCAGCAACGGACACGGACGTCCTCCGGTACTCCTCGAGTCGCAGCTGGGGTAGCGCGGCGCAGTACATCGTCAACCACGCCCACCTGCCTCCTCTGCGCGCCCACAACGGCTCGCAGAACGGCCCTGCGGTTCTTATTCGCGAGAAGGTCGACCGCCGCGCTTCCGCCCACGGGTTTTGTCAGAGGAGGTCGACAGGCGACAGCAACTGTGTGCTCAAGGATCCTTTGGCCAAAGACGCGCCGTCCTCCAACGGAATAGCGTCTCCCGAGAAGGACCTGAGCCCCGGCCGGCACCTCGCC